GTAAACAATGAGAGTATCTACATGTAGAGTCGTATGTCAACAGCAGAGTAAACAATAAGAGTATTTGCAGATAGAGTCGTATGTTAACAGCAGAGTAAACAATGAGAATATATATTTTTTAGAGTCGTATGTTAACAGCAGAGTAAACAATAAGAGTATTTGCAGATAGAGTCGTATTTCAACAAAAAAGGTGATAAATAACGTATCTATAAGCACAGTAATGTGTTAACATTAAAATTGACAAAGATACAAATAGAGTCCTGTGTTAATAGAACAGTCGACATAGAAAGTATCTAACGGTAGAGTTGGAAAGGAAATTATGTTCAAGTTGAGTCATGTATTAATAATAGTGAGTAAGGAGAGTATATACAAATAGAATTATGTATTAGCAGTAGAGATAATAAGGAAAATGACTACAGGTACAGTCATCTGTTAATAGTAGAGTTCACAAGGAAAGTACCTACAGGTAGAGTCGTTGGTTAACATTACAGTTGACAAGGAAAGTATCCGGACAGCTAACCCATTGTGTAGTTTTGTGCATTACAATAAATTATTTAATTACCTGTCTTGTTTTAAGAATATCGAGTTGCTATGTACTTGTATGCCTTCCTTTTATAGCCTGAATACTCTTGATTGAGAGAATTGTATGTTTGTTTGTTGAATTTCGCATAAAACTACTCGAGGGGTATCTGCGCTAACCATCCTAATTTTGAAGTTATAGTCCACGAGAAGACAGCTAGTCAAACCACCCATCACCAACTATTGGGCTGCTCCTTAAAACTGAATAGTGGTATTAACTTTCAGATTATAACATCCCCACAACTGAAAAGGTTAAGTGTTACGTCAAGTGCTCTAACCACCAGACCGATTGAGAGGAAGTTTAAATGGAGAAAAGTATACTTGAAAGACTTTCTTAATAATGGACTTCCTCTAGAAAGTTTTGGACAACGTTTCGAGTTGTTAGCGCAGATATTAATCAGGTCAAAGTAAATAACAGGAAATTTGGGTTGAAGGATACCCCAAACATATTCAGTGACGGCAGAAGTTTGATAATTTGAATTCTGGCATTTGTTTGCAAGAGGCAGAAGGAAGAGCTGTGAAAACTAATGGAAACTGAGGTAGGAGGAGGAGAGGTGGAAACTAATGGAAACCGAAGTATGAGGAGAAGAAGGAGAAAACCCCACTTTACCTGGTTGGGTGCCGAATTTCTAGCCGACCAATGACCTGTAGTAGTGACAGAATTATAATTTCGTCAGTGTTGTTCAAGAGGTGCAAGTTCCAAATTTTTAAGTATAATCTCTGACAAATCAATGCAGTGAATTCATGAATAAAGGGGCAGGATTACTTGGTTGCTATTTGTATTCTTGGGATTTTTAATTCAAATAAGGCTTGAAGTCTTGCCAGAATTCTGAGGTGGCGGATGGTGATGTGAATCGAACGGACAAGTTAAAATACGGTTTTTAATTGTTGGGATCTTACTGATTGAGTTTAAGTTCTGGTTCGGGGTGTAAAGCGAAAAGTTAATCTTATTGTTCGATGTTGTAGATTCTGCAATATGTCACACGCTTCCGTATTCTAATAACGGTTGAATGCAGATTATGTAAATTATAATTAGTGATTTACATTCTCTTGCGACGCCTTCGATTTTACTCTATTTCGCCGATTTTCTTTCTTGGTAATTAACTTGAATTGATTTGTTAAGTTTTCGTTGAATATAGAATTTAATTATATTAGCGATGTTTAGATGTGTGTGTCATGAAGTTTGTGTTTTTACTTGTTGTAACTTCTGTAGGTTGTTCTATAGAAGTGATAGCATGGGTATTTGTGTGTCACCCGCCATGTGTCGCATCATTTGGGGGATTTGCATCAACCAGGAGTCCCGCCACGTGCTCCAGAATGCTACGTCATCGGTATATTGTGATGCGTAGGTGAAAAGAATATCGTTAATGTAAAACAGTAAAGCCGAATAAGGAGCTTGTGGTACTCCCTCTTGCGGACAAAAAGGATTAGTTATTGAGTTTATCCTTAGCATATTGGATGGATAGGAAACTGGAGATTCAGCGGTTGACTGGGACTGGGATATTTAACTTCGAAAGTTTGAAACGTAGGCCATCATGTCAAACTGTATGGAAACCACTCCTAACATCGAGAAATAATGATACCGATGCACGCTTCCTGTTATACAGTTCCAGTGAGTCGTACGACTTTGTCTTTTCTTGCATTTTGTATGTTTGATAACATGTTATACAGTTAGTTTCCGGATGCCATAGAAATCTAGTAGCTATTGTTCTCTCTGGGACTTTACCCATACTGTTTAGAAGGCTGATCAAAATATGAATGTTAGGGTTAAACTATCCTGTGTTATATGTATAGATGACTTTACATTATTACACATATCGAGGGTTAGTATCCAGACTGAAATGATATATTGTGATAATGTGGCCTTGTGATTAGTGTAATGATGCTGTTTGAGGCGTTGTGATATGCGTAATGAGGATGTCTGAGGCGTTGTTATATATTTAATGAGGGTATCTTAGGCGTTTTGACATGTGTAATGAGGGTATCTGAGGCGTTTTGGTGTGTGTAATGAGGCTGTTTGAGGCGTTGTGAAATGCGTAATGAGGATGTCTGAGGCGTTGTTATATATGTAATGAGGGTATATTAGGCGTTGTGACATGTGTAATGTGGGTGTATGAGGCGTTTTGATATGTGTAATGAGGCTGTTTGAGACGTTGTGACATGCGAAATGAGGGTATATGAGGCGTTGTGATATGTGTAATGAGACTGTATGAGACGTTGTGAGATGCGTAATAAGGGTTCTTAGGAATAAAGTTACGTATGCCTTTTTCACCTGGGTATGTACTTTTAGATTATTATTACTGCTTCTGTGTTGATGATTACGTTATCTACTGGTTTATGTGATTATTGTTTTGGCAGTGTCTGGCTGTATAAATTACTCTACCCTACTGAGGTGCCGGACATGAAAAGAGTCGAGATTTGGGGTCCTGAATATATCTTTATAATAATCGGCAATAAGACTGGCTTTCTCTCTCTTTTGGTGGCGACTACTGTGTTGTGATATTCTAAGTTCATTTTGTGTTTGGATTGAGCGTTGTCGCAAACTGATTTAAATTTCTTGTAGAAGAGGGCGGGATTGTTTTTTACAAACCCATTAATAGAAAGTAACAACCTGCACCCACTCATAGAAAGTAAATTCATGTTAGAAAACGTCAAATCTATAAGTGATTCCCTCCATGCATGACTTCTGAGACCGATACAATAGATCTATTACATTAAAGTGATTAGCTTGATCATTCTAACATTACCAACTCTTGAAATATTTACTTATATCCGTGAAAACGTCTTTAATTCATTGATGAACTCTCTTTAGTCATGAAACTAACACAATACGTAAACTTACCAGACGAAAAAAATTAAATTGGACAAATTTCTGTATAGCGATATATATATAGATTTGAAGTAGTCTGAGAATATTGTTAAACATATAGGTTTGAAAGAGCCTACTGATGTTGTTAATCATATAGATTTGAAAGACCATAGTGATATTGTTAATCATATATATAATTGAAAGAGAATAGTGATACTATTAATCATATAGATTTAAAATAGTATAGTGATATTGTTAAACATATAGGTTTGAAAAAGTTTACTGATGTTGATAATCATATAGGTTTGAAAGAGTCTATTGATACTGTTAAACATATAGGTTTGAAATCGTATAGTGATAATATTAATCACATAGAGTTAAAAGAGTATAGTGATATTGTTAATGATATAGGTTTAAAGGTGTATAGTGATATTGTTAATGATATAGGTTTAAAGGTGTATAGTGATATTGTTAAACATATAGGTTTGAAAGAGTCTATTGATATTGTTAAACATATAGGTTTGAAAGAGTATAGTAATAATATTAATCACATAGATTTAAAAGAGTATAGTGATATTGTTAATGATATAGATTTGAAAGAGTATAGTAGTACTGTTAATGATATAGGTTTGAAAGAGTATAGTGATATTGTTAATGATATAAGTTTGAAAGAATATAGTGATATTGTTAATCATATATATTATACTACATAACATCCTACACCCATTAATATACAGTATCATACTACATAGAAAATAACAACCTGTACCCTCTTATAGAAAGTAACAAACTACACTCACTTAGAGAAAGTAATATCCTACACCCATTAATAGAAAGTAACAAACTACACCCACTTATATAAAGTAATATCCTACACCCATTAATAGAAAGTAACAAACTACACCCACTTATAGAAAGTAATATCCTACACCTATTAATAGAAAGTAATATCCTACACCTATTAATAGAAAGTAACAAGCTACACCCACTTATAGAAAGTAATATCCTACACCCATTAATAGAAAGTAACAACCTACATCCACTCGTAGAAAGTAAAAACCTGCACCCACTTATAAAAAGTAACATACTACACCTATTAATATAAAGTAACAACCTACACCCACTCATTGAAAGTAAAAATCTGCACCCACTTATAGAAAGTAATATTCTATTACGTGTTGAACAATATTATCAGATTAATTTAAAGTTGCATATGAACAATATTACTAGTGTGTTTAAATCCGAATGTTCAACAATATTCTCAGACTCGTTTAAAGTTACATACTTAACACCATTACCAGTCAGCATAAATCTACGTGTTTAACCTTCATATTACTGACTTGTTTTTTAAACTGTTCGCTCTCGAGTAGTTCATATCATACATAATATTAAGAAATTTTTATATCCTTTTAAATAATTTAGTGCAAAGAACTCATAAAAAATATTTAGTGAAATCACTTACTGTTTATGTAAAATAAATATAATACAAACGACTGCACATAATCGCAATATTTAATAGATTTATATTTCTAAATGTTTTTGTGTTTGGTTGGTTCGTTACTAAAGGCCCTGAAATGAACAAAACAATCGACCCACAACAAATTTGGTGCATTAGAAACATTTGTTTAAAAAGTTGGTAATTCTAGAGTTAACATAATTTTCAGACTCTTTCAAATCTACAAGTTTAACAGAATTACCAGACTGCATCAAATCTATGTGTTAAGTAATTTATCAGACGTATTCAAATCTGCATGTTTAACATTAATACCATACTTTTAAATGTACATAATTAATAAAATCATTCATTAACGAACGTAAAGCAAACTTGATACATAAATTTTACACTATTAACAAGGAATAATTTACTGTAAGTGACAAAACACGATATAATGTTCTCTCTACCAACTTATTCAAGTGCACAAGTTTCGTATCCAAATAACCTTTCTTAAACTGTTCCCAACACCAGTTTCGTATTAGCAATCTTCCCTAAAATGTTCTCAACTCAAGTTTTATATCTAAGCGACCTTTACTTTATCATTCTCGACATAAGTCTTATATCTAAGTAGCCATTTCTGAACTATTCTCAACTCACGTTTTATATCTAATCAACCTTTCCTAAACCGTTCTCCACACAAGTTTCGTATCTAAGCGACCTATCCTAAACTGTTTTCAACACACGTTTCGTATCTAAGCAACTCTCCTTAAACTGTTTTAAGTTTAGCACATCAATCAAATTTAAATTAATTATAGATGTAAATACTTTGCGCAATGTGTGTGACTGGCAAGCTTCTAAAATAGTGTGTGTGTTTTTCAGTTTTTAAGGTCCCACGAGTCATCGATGGGAAAGGACTATGAAAGTATTCTTCGAGACTTATATGATACAATGGAACGAGAAACCGATCTTCGAGAGCAGCTGCGTTACGCAGAGGACGAGACAAGGAATTTGCGGAAGAAGCTCTCCACGATGGAACAAGAGAATGACACCTTGATCCTGCAGTTGAGGAAAATGAGCGGAAGAGAACGTTCAGAGAAAGACGATGAGGAAGTGACTGTAGAAGAACTGAGTTTACAGCTGGAGCTCAGCGAGCAGGAGATCGCTGTCTTGAGGAAAAAGGTAGACGATTTGGAACAGCAAAATGAAAACTTCCAAACAGAAGTGAAGTACTTAGAAGAGAAGCTTGTCTCGAAGCCTACCATCGAAGTCCCAGAGAATATTGACTTTAGTCCCGACTCTTTCCAGGAACAGAAACTTAAACTGTTAGATTACGAAGCGAAGGAGTTGAGACGAAAGCTCATAGAGAAGGAAAAAGAAAACGAAAAATTAAGGACGGAAGTGGAGGTGCACAGAAGGAAGGCATCAAAGGTAATGGTGAGAAGCAGATCCCTTGATAGCGATGTCCAGGTTGACTTAAAAAGGCAACTTCATTTGGTTGAACAGGAAGCTGGAATACTTCGCCAGAAAACGATGGAATTGGAGACAGAGAATGATAATATCTTAGCAGAAAATAAGAGACTCCAACTTCGGGTCAGCAGGAAGCCTCCTCCAGGGCCTGCCGACCAACTCCAGTTGGCAAATATGGAGCTGCGAGACAAGGTACAAGAGTTAGAGAAGAAAGTGTCGAGTCTAAAGGAAGAATTGGAGAAGACAACTGGATCTGTTACCACGCCAGCTACTGTCATCCAAGATTATCGACCTCGCAGGGAATCCCTAACTGACACCGAAAGCGATCTCATTGCGTCTTTAAAAAAACAAATCAAAAACAAGGAAGATGAAATTAGTTGTATGCAAACTAAAATTCTACAGTTGGAAATTCAAAATACCAAAGTGTGTAGAGACTACAAAAAGCTTAAGGATATCTTGAACTACAAGAAAAAAGCTCCAAGGCTAGTGCGAGAAACAGCCACCAGATTGGAGCTAAAGGAAATCATCCGTGACTTAGAAGATGAAATAAGTAAGTGAAAGTAATGTTTTATTGTACAATATACTTTGGTTACATTTTACAACATTTGAACACTGTTCTAGAAATAGCGATTGAGTTTAGGTAATCAAATCATTAGTTGTATAAGATAATAAAAATGTTTGAAACTTCATTGTATATGTAGAACCAAAGAAATGGTAGTTTAAAGCTAAATATTTCTAGTGTTTTTATCACCAAATATTTTCTTCCATTGATTGGTTTCGATATCTTTTGCATGAAGGTGAGCTTCAAGTCACTCTAAGAGGTGTAGAAACGGTACACGAAACATCGCTGGAAGAAATGGAAAAGATGAAACGGGAGTTAGAAATAGCTCACAAGGATCTGAAGCAGAAAGAAGAAAATATTGACACGGAGTTGTGTGAACAGAATGAGAAGATGGAGGCATTAGAAAAGCAGGCCGAAAAAGAAAGAAAAAAGGCTAAAAGTCTCCAGGATCAACTTGAGAGTCTTGCTAAAGAGCAGCAAACAGACCTAGTACTAATGGAGAAGGTGAGAACGTTACAACTAGAAAAGGAAAACCTCGACAAGAAAATAGCTACGCTAGAGCAAAAGAATAAGGATGAAAGAAAATCCTATCAAGAACTGCAAAATAAATTTGAGGAAACGACAGAACTGAGAGAGGAATTGGAGGAGAAAGTGGAAGAATTAAAAGCGGAACAACAGAATGTGGAGAAGGAGGTAAGTGTCTTGGATAAGCCGGCTATATTATCTTAAAATAAACTTAGGGGTTTAGAAAAAATACACGTACTTCAAATATATGGAAAGTTTGAAGCAGAAAATGAAGTATCAGGAGAAGAAAATAATCTATATTCTTACAATGTAGTGCAGTTAATTAAACTAAACATTTTATTATAATTAGTGAAGCTAAGGATGGACAACAATCGTAGGAGTTTGGTGATTGTTAATATGAAGCTACCAAGTGGAAGTTTGGTGATTGTTAATCTAAAGCCACCAAATGGGATTGTGGTGATTGTTAATCTAAAGCCACCAAGTGGGATTGTGGTGATTCTTAATCTAAAGCCACCAAGTGGGATTGTGGTGATTATTAATCTAAAGCCACCAAGTGGGATTGTGGTGATTATTAATCTAAAGCCACCAAGTGGGAGTTTGATGATTGTTAATCTAAAGCGACTAAGTAGGAGTTTGATGATTGTTAATCTAAAGGCACCAAGTGGGAGTTTGATGATTGTTAATCTAAAGCCACCAAGTGGGAGTTTGATGATTGTTAATCTAAAGCCACCAATGAATCAGCAGAACTTGAATTATCCACTTATTCTTAATGTATAAGCTCATTACATTACCCTTCTTCAGATATCTTTGGTCACTAATTGCATGCTGTTGGAAAAGAGGGAGAAATACGTAAGTGTTAGTAATATGAGGGGAGATTCCGTAAGGCAAAGTGAATGTCTGGACAGTGCAATAAAGATATATCTAAGAGTTGGAGGAATCGACAAAAAAATTGTAGTACAAAAAAAAATGAATACTATAAAACATTCTAAATGTTACATAGAATGCATCAGTGATAAATTGTTCTGACATTGTTACCAGAGGAGAAAGTTTTTTGTTTTTTTATTCGATCTCATCTTTGTAAAGTATTATGATCTCATTACGTAAAAATAATTAACTTCACTACGTTTATGATAAATGATAGTACCAAAAATAATTTTGTAATATGTACAGTATCAGAAATAATTATGCAAACCTACAAGTGATACAAATGCAGTCACAAAAATTAATGAATAATTGAAATTAAAATGTCACTCTATCTTTAGATGTTGTTGTTGGTTTAGCGCAAAGCTACACAATGGACTATCGACGCTCTGTCCACCTTTGGGAATCGAACTACGGGTTTTAATATCGTAAATCTGTAAGCATACTCCTTAACCACCGAGGACTTTTATCATTAGTGCAATACATTATTACAGAAAATACAAAATAAAAAGGAATAGGTTGAACAATATATTGCACTAATATTTTGTGCTTACTTTAAACTGAGCAAGACACCTAGAATTTATGCTAATATATGTTTATTAATGTATGATTGTATATTGACCCACAATTTAATCTGTTATTTGATTATTGTTTTACACGCTCTGTTTCTATATAAGCCAATACAACCTTAATAACATCTGCACAAGTACTTTGTGCAGGCCAAGCTGAAACATTATTCCCTGCCAAATACGTGTTATGCCTCACATGATTGATGAGAATTTGTTCATGTCTTTCAACAGTCAAGGTGCCATCAATTTCGTGTAGATCGCCAGTGATACTGGATAAGATGCAACCCAAACATGTATTGATCTCCCATCATTCTTCGCTGTAGAAATTGTACGTTTACAGTGTTCTGTACTTTGTCATCGAACAAACCATCATTGATTGTTGTTAATTAAATTGAATTTAGATTACCACCTATAGGGAGCGCCATTCTCCAGCTTTGCTCATCCCATTTTTTGAATTCGGATGCATATTTGAGCTTTTTGAATTGGTTATCTGTCCTGAGTTGTGGTTTTGAGCAAATACACATCCATCTTAATGTTATTCGCAAGATTTGCAGTGAGTTATCGTATAGAACATAACCTGAGCTACAGAAGATTTCTACAATGACCACTTGTATGATCAAAAGTAAAAGTTTCATCTTCTCTTTTCAAAGTTTCAAATAGCTACTACTGACGTTAATTTCTGCTTCTATCTGACACATCTTATAGCTTTCACTAGTCAAAACTTCGATTTATACGTGGTTTTCATGTGTCGTTTATATCCTGTTAGCCATGAGTGTGCTACTACAATACTGAAGGGAATAGTAAGACTGCATTTACTTTTATAGGCACTATCCTGACGTGTCACTGTCTGACTGGCTGAATTACAGCCAATCATAATATAAACTGTCAAGATAAAACAGTACTCTGGTAAAATTCTTTGCATTTTATACCATTTTTATTCACTCTTTTCATAATTGTCTCCGTGTAAGACAGCGGGAAGTTTTACGAACTTACAACGCTGAAAATTAGGATTCGATTCCCCGCAGTGGACACAGCAGTTTGCTTAATATGATTTTACATTAAAACAAACAAACTTGTAATGATTACTTTCAATACTATATATAAATTATTGAATTCTATTTGTTGTTCTTCATTTTCTTTTGTGTATATAGTGAAAAAAATATAAATCTCAAGGGTTTCAAAATAGATAAAACGTCAATGTTTTTGACTCAGTGATAACAGTCATTTATTCTGAAGTAAGTAAAAGTAAAGGAACAAAACAACAACAGAAATTTAAGCACTTTTGAAGAATAGTCTCATCTTTGAAAGCCAAAAGAGGACTATTATGATAATATAGCTACTGAATAATTCTAGAAGACATATATAGCTTCAAATGTGTATCAAAATATTGAGAAAATTGTGACACAAAATAATCTTATTACCATAGCAATAGCAATGACACAAAATAATCTTATTACCATAGCTATAGCTACGACACAAAATAATCTTATTACCAAAGCTGTAGCTACGACACAAAATAATGTTACTACCATATTTATAGCTATGACACGATATAATCTTATTACCATAGTTATAGCTACGACACAAAATAATGTTACTACCATATTTATAGCTATGACACGATATAATCTTATTACCATAGTTATAGCTACGACACAAAATAACTTTATGACCATAGTTATAGCTATGACACAAAATAATCCTATTACCACTATAGCTATGACACAAAATAGTTTTATGAACCATAGCTATAACTGTGACACACAAAACAAGCTTATTAACCATAACTATAGCTATGACACAAAATAATGTTATCACCATAGCTATGACAAATTAATCTTATTACAACAGCTATAGCTATGACACAAATTAATCTTATTACAACAGCTATAGCTATAACAATTTCACTTATCGCAAAACTTAGTTTTATCTTACTAGGTGGATAAAAAAAAAAATTGAGAGCAGCATACTGATGTTAATGTTGTGTAAAGTTTATCAAGGCCAGCAGCTGTTAGCTAGCTCAAGATAAAGTTCAAATATCACAAAAACCATGAAGAAAGCCCAGAAATCTTGGTTATTAGTGTCCAAGACCTTTCTTCCAGAAAAATATGTTGTGATTAACGTGCTTAAGAACAGGAATAATATGAGATGGGCATCCAAAATAAAGCAGACCTCAATCTGTGTAAAATCTGCTGACACTAGGGACCGGGCATCCAAAACTAACCAGGCTTCAATCTATGTAAAATTTGAAATGTGAAATTGCAATGTGCATCTCGCATGACCCCTACTACCCCGGACTTCAATTAAAGTTCAAGACACTGAGGGCGCTTCATGATTTTCGAACTGATTGTAAACAATATGTCGTTTGTTATGCACATGAATGTCAGAATTCAATTTTCATGGTGTCTTAAGCGTCGAACTAGATTTGAATACCGAATAATCATTTTGAGTTTATCTAGTCGTGCAGAGTGGTGGATAGTGGTAATAGCTTTATGAGGATGTAATTTCGAAGAGCAAAATGTCATTTATCTAATATTTGTCTTAAGTGAGCACACTAGTATTACAGTACAAGCAGGAAGTTTGTCCAACACTTATTAAGAGAATGAAGCTGACACTATTGTTAGTAGACCTGAAGATCAGCAGCAGTTAATCCAAATACATATTTTGTTGCTCAGTGAATGACTTTCCTTATTTCACACAAGTATTTGGATATTTCTTTTCTAAACATAAGCCATTTTGTAGACAAGCCACTAACTAGTGAATTATTCTTTACGAAACATACACCATCTAGCAGTCAAGCCCCTAACTAGTAAAGGATTCTTTATTAAACAAACGCCATCTAGCAGACGACCCTCTAACCAGCAAATGGTTTTTATGAAACAAAGTCTATTTAGAGCAAGCCTCTAACCAGGAAAGTTAATCATCTTTAGTTTAAATGGCATTAAAATATTCTTTATTTTGTCTAATGTTAATGTGACATCATGTTTCAATATTACTTTTTATTAAACAGAACAGAGTACAGTCCTTACTTAACCCTATACCTTATTTTGAAATATTAACAGAGACGGAAAAGACACCATAGCGACTAGTCAAAAGGAAAATAGAAAGGAGGTTTCAGTTTCTATCTTTTCTCGACCCTTCTATATTCTTTGCATTGTTGGGAGAAAAATCCGAATTTGGACCCTTTATTTTAACTTTAAAACTGATTTTTGTAAGTTTTATATTTCCACGATATTGAAGTAACTATACTGTATATCAAGTAACCATTACATAGGGTGTAATAGTATTGTCAACCTCCTGGTATTATCTGTACACAGGCCGAACGACAAAAGACTTTAATGAATCAAGCGCAGGAACAGATTCGGCAGCTGAATGCGAAGGTTGAGAAATCAGAAGTTGATTTATCCTCCTTGAAGAAGCAATGCCATGACTTGAAAAACGAGGTAATAAAACTAGTTTAAATGTATTTAATTGGTAGACATATTATCAAAAAATCTTAAACATTGTATTGTTGTTGTTTCGATCCAACTCGAACAAGAAAAATAACTAAGTTCCATCAGACCGACAATTAAATATTGTATTGTTGTTCCGGTATAACTCAAACAAGAGAGCTAAATACTATCAGACTGACAATTAAATATTGTATTGTTGTTCCGGTATAACTCAAACAAGAGAGCTAAATACTATCAGACTGACAATTAAATATTGTATTGTTGTTCCGGTATAACTCAAACAAGAGAGCTAAATACTATCAGCTTGACAATTAAATATTGTATTGTTGTTCCGGTATAACTGAAACAAGAGAGTTAAATACTATCAGAATGATAATTAAACATTGTATTGTTGTTTCGATCTAGCTCAAGCAAGTGAGAATTAAGGTATCATCAGATTGACAATTAAACATTGTAATGTTGTTGTTTCGATTTAGCTCGAACAAGAAAGAACTAAGTACCAGCAGACTGACAATCGCCAAACCGAAATGGCTGTTGGTTGGCTGAAAGAGCGAGGCGACCTCAAGCGACTGTTAAACGAACTACGCATAAAACATGACGCTTTGAAACATAAAATGGAGACTCAAGAAGCCCAGTATAACGAAAGGGTACATGTCGTTTTTGTTTTTCCTTAATATAATTTATGTGGATTTATTGAATTAGGTATAAATCCTAAATGAATTGTTTATGAATTACGTTAGGTTTTAACCGTGTTTCTGTTCAAATTCTTTTCCTAGGTAAAATACTAATTTCAGATAATCCAAGAAGTAAATGTTCACTCAGAATACGTAACTACAGTATGAATCCATTAACACGTATCAAAAGCTCTCTTATGTAGTTGGAATTTTAATTTACTGGCCAAATTACTAATGCACCATCTTAATGCCGTTTAAAATGAGTTAAACATATAACAAAAGACGTAACTGAATAACTTAATCTAACGTAAGTAGTCCTACAATGGAATATCATGTGAAAAAATCCTAAACATTATTTATAAACAGTTGCAGATAAACTTTACGAAAAGAAATAGGGTAACCTGATTCGTTACAAATCACTACATTTCAAGGGGTAAAAGCTAAAAATCCCATAAGAAAGCTAAAACAAAACTTAATTATTCTAGTACCATAAACTTGAAAGAAAAGTTATCAGGAAATGATTATTAGAAAGTCAGATTTTCAACCCTCACAGAATAGTAAAATGAGTGTAGGTGAAATCTTACCCCACTCCTAATAAAATGAGTGTGTGTAAATTCAGATTTTTTTACCCCACCCATCGTACAATGAGTGTATCTAAATCCATATTTTTTACCCTACCCTACCCCTAGTAAAGTTAGTGTGTGTGAAACCATATTTCTGAACTCGACCCAGAAAAATTAAAAGAATATAAAACCGTATTTCTACCCCTGACCTAGTAAAATGAATGGTATATAATATCGTTAGGTTTTTACCCCCAATAAAATGAGCGCCGTGTAAAACCTAATTTCTGCCTCCGACCAGTAAAAGTAGCAGTGTTTAAAGCCAGATTATTATTCCGAATCCCTCAGCGAGACAGCTGTAAGTTTACGGACTTACAATAATATAATCTGGGATTTGATTCCCCACGGTGGACATAGCAAATAGCCCAATGTGGCTTTGCTCCAAAAAACAAACAAGTACTACCCTGACCCAGTAAAATGAGCCGTGTAAAACCAGATTTCTGCCTCTGACCCAGTAAAATTAACTGCGTATGGAGCCAGATTATTACCATTGGAATTTAATTGTAAAGAATCCAAAACAGGAAGCAATAATGTTTGCGTTGCTCAATTCCCTGGGATTCTTGAATATCTGTGTGATTGTCTTTCACCAATATGCATCTGCTGATAAAACACTCAATCTTGTGCTTTTCTGTGAGCAGACCTCAATGGTATAGTTATTTTAGGGACCATCATCCCTCCGTCGTCAGTAGTCTTGGGGTAAGCAGAACCGTAAAGTGAAACTTTTATTTGTAATAATTTGATCTACGTTCATGCCATGCTTTATACTCACACACATATATGTTTAGCTTTGGACTTCCATGTTTTTAATATCGTTATACAGGAAACCAAACTTAAAGAGCAACATAAGGAGAACCTGGAAAAAGCAGTAAGAGAAGCAGAGCAAGAAATGAAAGCCCAGTTAGATACAGCGAATAAAGAAGAAGCAGTAATGAAAGCTAAGATAACTGAAGTAACGGAAAAACTAGAAAAGGTAAGTTCTTATTTCAAAACCAAAATGTGAGAGAAACTAATAAAGTTAAGTCTTCATTTGAAAGCTAAGATAACGATTTCATAGGAAACGGTAAGTCTTTATTATGAGTTAGATAAATCAACTTCTTTCTACGCATTGATCTTAAATACCGAACTTGATGTTTTTCAGCTTGGATTTTTCTGACGCTTTGAGAATATCACATAGCAGTTTTATTAGTTTTCGATATGCAATACAACTTATCACTTATTTCAACCATTCTCACGAGGAGTGTGTTAGATTTATCAGGTCTCCAGATCTGAAACATATTGCTGGCAAGCACTTTTTGATAGTATAGTTAAGTATGTATCTTAACCTATTTTAAGCAGTATTTTTCCTGTCTCTCTGATGACCAGTTCTTCATGACTAATCTGGGTTTTAGAACTAAAGTTGTGTGAAACATTTTCATTTACAGAGAGAGAAAGACCTGAAAGAGATCACGGAAAAACATCGTCACCTCGTGACCACCCATCGGAAGGAAAGAGAAGAATGGGAGGCCCGAGAAGAAGAGATGGAGAACCATCTGAGAACCGAATTCAAGAAACGTGAGAGGATTGAAAAGGAGCATGACCAGGAGCTTCGACACAAGGATGAGGAGCTCCTCGCGTCAAGAGATAAAATCGTGCAGTTGGAACGGGACCAGAGGAAGGCGGCCAGCCGAGTAGAACAGCTCCAACAAGAGCATGAGGAAAAGGTAAAACAGATGGAGCGGGAGTTTGCGCGCGAGCGTCAGGAGTACGAAGAGCTTACAAACAAGTACGAACAGTTAGAAGGAGACCACGTGAAAATGAAGGCTAGGCTAGTAATGGAAAAGGAGCAGGTAGAAGCAAACTTAAAATCACTTAAGAGAGATCACGAACAAACCTGTTCGGAATTGAAAGCTCTTAGAGAGACCTACAACGTCCGTCAGGATACGTGGATCAAAGAAAAACTTGACTTCCAGGTAACAAAATTCTTCTGGCATAATTGTTAAAGTTCAGATTATAACAACCCAGATCTGACTGAATGTCTAACAGAGTAGCTCATGGAGACTTAAGATAAACATACCGTAAGGCTGTGGTGATTAGTAAAAAATAAACAATACACGACAGGAAAGACAAAAACTGCCTGATGAATAAATAGGAAACTAGATACAGGTTATACATTGGCCATACTACACATGTAATTTAGACTTTGTTATAAGACTAAAATCATAGTATATTTGTTAAAAGGAGATTTTCAGCTCTAATAACTGAGAGCTTAATGATGATTTCTGATGATTCTTTATGCAGGACCGCATGAAAGAAATGGAGAATAAGGTCACACGAATGAGCAACGTTGAGCAGGAAAGGCTGAACTTAAAGGGGTCATTAGAAGAGCGCGATAGTCTAATCGAATCTTACAAGCGAGAAGAGAAACATTTGAAGGAAGAAAGGGACAAGATGCGCCGAAAGGTAGAAAGAATTGTAGAGCATGTCCTTAAAGATTAACATTTTGATAAAGGAGAGATAGAAAGTATTGTAGAGCATGTCCTTAAAGATTAACATTCTGCAGGGATAGAAAGAATTGTAGAGCATGTCTTAAAGATTAACATTCTGATAAAGGAGGGATAAAAAGAATTGTAGAGCATGTCCTTAAAGATTAACATTCTGATAAAGGGGGATAGAAAGAATTGTAGAGTAGAAAGAA